GGGGGGGGGGGGCACATTCAGAAACACATTCCGTGTATAGGGAAAGAATGGTCACAATTTATAGCCTCCTTCATCCCCCAAAGTCATCAGTATCTTTGCAAATCATAAGATTTATCTCCGTATCACCATTTTCAAAGCTCTATGCTAGTCCACTATATGCATAGACCATTTTTATTTAGACAGTCCACTGTTCTTGGACACTTTGATTTTTTCCATTTTTTAAATTATGAGCAATGTTAGGACGAGTGTCCTTGTTACATATATTTCAGTGCCTCTGCCAGTCATTTCTTCACAGTCCATTCTTAGAGGTGGAATTACTGGGTGACACAGAAGGCTTTCCACAACTCTTGCCATCGTGTTTTATTTACACTCCCACCAGAATGACAGTGTGTCCCTTTATCTGGATCTTCATAGGTGCTTAATGCAGCTCTGTCTGCTCACAAGGGCCCCTGTTGGGTAAAGGATGCACCACCCTATCTAAACGATATGCAATGCTATTTCTAAATTCCAACATTGAAGATACAGACCTTTTTGTGGCTTTTAATAAAAAAGTATAAAGCCGGTACTTTCTGAAGTAGGTAACTTTCCATGAGGTACAGACATCTGGGCATGAACAGCAGGGCACAGGATCTTAGCTGCGCAAATTCACTTTCCGCTGATTATGCCGCCGCTTACCTTGACACTTAATGGGCTGTATCACCTCCTTCTGTGGAAATTGTGTTTATAATGCCCTAAACTGATATTTCAGAGTCACACTGTACCCAGACTTTGAGGACAGAGCTTTCCTGCAGGTCATTCTGTGACTGTGGTACGAATGTCTTCATGCGTTAAAAACAATGCAATGTGGGGTTTTTCCGACAGCTGCCTGCACACAGGACTAAGGCCCTAACTAAAACAAATTAAAGACACTTTGTTGAGATATAATTCACATATATTGGGACATAAAATTCATCACTTTAAAGTGAATATAATTCATTGGGTTTTACTATATTCATAAGGTGTGTGCAGCCATCACCACTATCGCATTCCAGGACACTCCCACACCCCAGAAAAAGCCTCCACTCATTTGCAGTCACTCCCCAACCGCTTTCCCCTGCAGCCCCTGGCAACCACTAATCTACTTTCTGTCTCTCTGGATTGCCAGCTCTGGACATTTTACATAAACAGAATCTTACACTATGAGGTTTTTTATGTCTGGCTTTTAGAAAATGAAAGTAATACTGAGCCAACTAAGCGTTTAATAGGAGTGATTCTTTCTAAATTCAGGGAGTTAAAAAACAGGAGGACCTGTTAGTGAAAGAAGAGCTGACAGCACTGGAGGAAGGAGTGAAAGCTGGTGGGTCACGGAGTGGAGACATCTCGACATTGAAAACGAGTAAAAATAGGAGCAGAGCGACTGAGCTGCTGTTGGCGGAAGTCAGCCAGCTTATGGATGAGGCTTTTGAAAGGTTCTCTTTACTTAACTTGAACCAGGCTTTTCTGGGATGGGCACCGTGGTCCTTTTTAAGTCCGCTACAGGAGTCCGCACTTCTCAGATACAGATCTCTCTTAACTTCTGACAAAACTGTTTTCCGCTACGACCTCAGCAGGCGCTCTTCCTCCTCCTGAGGCTCCCTCACAGCACTTTGATCCAGGACACACAGGACACGCACATCTGCACACCCTGCCTTCAGGGTGACGTGGCACAGGCTGGTGCTAGAGGTGGCCTTGCTTGTGGGTGGCATTTGGTTTACTTATATTGAACCTTCTACTTGTCGCCAGCTCTGCTTTAGCGGACTTGATCTTCGCAGGGAGGGAAAAGGGCATCTGATTGAATTGAAGATGACTGATGATCACAGCACTGTGCTCTCTGCCGTCTCTGTCCACGGAGGGAGATGGTGATCCAGACGATTAGGTCTTTTGTGTGGCTTTGGCCTGCCTGCCATAGGCTACCTTATGTGTCTGTGGATAACTCAAGCAGTGTGGTTCTATGAGCATCAGGATCATTGCAAGGAGGTAACAGTGAAAGTCTCCACCCAGGAGAATGGCCAGAATTAGCAGCCTGATGTTGTCTTAATAGAGAAACCACTGATGCTTTTATAGCTATTAATCTGCATTTTATCATCAGGCATTTGCTGTTACGTTCTCAGATTAGGTGATTTACCTTTACTGAAAGCTCTTGCTTTCATGAAGGTGTAATAAATGAGACAAAAGAGATGACATCAAAGAGTTATTACATTACAAAGGAAAATGCTTGTGTTAAAAATCTAGAGACCCTCTCTCTGCCCTCTGATAGCTGTGCCATTCTGCAGTGACTGCTATTCTCAGAGGTTTCGGGGTGGAAACTACATGTGGGCCCTCTGAGGGGTGATATTTGCCACCACATGTCTGTTGCATGCATGCCGTGTGCTAGAGCAGCGCTTCTTGTGCTCAGTGTGCAGAAACATCGCTTGAGCTCTACCTTCCAGAGATGGTCCAATTAGTAAATCTGGAGAAGATACAGTGATCTGCATTTTTAACCGGTATTCGAGTGATTTTGACAAAGGAGGTCTAGGTTTCAAGAAACAGCAACTTAACAAATGGGGAGTGGAGGTGGAGGGGTGGAGGGGGTGGGTCTGGGTAATGCTGCCAGAGGGAGAGGGGCAGGACAGGGTAGGACAGGAGACAGGAAGTAAGAGGAGTTCTTGGAAGGAAGTGAAATGTACCAAAAACAAAATTTCTGTTTAAGTTTGCCCAAGACTTTGATGGTGGAGGTGTTAGGTGGTAGTGGAGGTGTTATGTGGGAGGTGATTTCTGTCTGTGCACCTTTGGCATGCTGCAAAGGTTGTGGATGTTCGGAGTGAAAGTATCTGGGCTATTTTGTTTTTTTATTTCCTTTTTTAATCCTTACCTGAGGATATTTTTTCCATTGCTTTTCAGAGATAGTGGAAGGGGGAGAGAGAGAAAGAAACGTTAATGCAGGAGAGACACATTGGTTGGTTGCCCCCCATACACGCCCCGACCAGGGCCAGGGAATCAAAATCAAGCCCACAACCGAGGGACGTGCCATTGGCTGGAATCGAACCCGGGACCCTTCTGTCCTTGGGCCAGCGCTCGAACCACTGAGCCAAGCTGGCTAGGGCTATCTGGGCTATTTTAAAATATGCAAAGGTCATGCTGTCCTTCAGCCCACCCTCCCTTCTCTTGTACAGGGTGCAGGACAGCATCACCCGTCCACTCAGGTCCAGTCAGTTTCCGCCCACATCGATGGTACCCTGCTGACTTCCTCTTCCCCAAGCTCTTATGTTGAGTCTTTTGCATTGAGGGGAGAATTGAAGTCCTGGGAGAAAATGAGATCCCCAAGGGAAAGAGAAAAGAAGAGGCCTGGACATAGATTGAGTGAGACGGTAGTGACTGGATGCCTACTGTGTGCGAGGTGTTGTTTGCCCTTGAGGATATGTTGTGCACAAGATCGGCTTAGAGTCTAGTAGGAGAGACAGACATTGTACAGCTAGTTATACAACTAATATGCCATTAAAATCATGATGAAGGAACTATGTCAGGTGCTGTGAGATTGTTGAGCAGGTGCTTTTACCTAGTTTAAGGGCAAGAAGAAAGAATGAACTAGTGAAAAACACAAAGGAGAAGTCGAAGCGTATGTGTTACAGACCAAGAAGGGTTTCGAGGGCAAGCTCGCGGTCGTCAGAGTCAGAGGCTGCAGAACAGAGGAGGGGAGCTGAGACTGGTCAGCTGCGTGCAGTGACTTAAACTGCTCTGGAAAGTTTCAGGGTTAAGAGAGCCAAAGCCAGATTACAGGTGGCTGATGAATGAGGCTGAGGACCTGTTAAGGACTGGAATAGGCTCTTACACTCCCTTCTGGACACTTAGCATGAAGGACCTTGTCATGTCCCGGCTGTTTGCCTTGTCTCTCCAACTAGATTGACAGCTCCCGACGTGAAGGTCATGGCGACAACCCAGCCCCAGCACTGAGTCAGCAGGTTGAATTAGAGCCACCAAATAGATGTCTAAACTCGGATTCGGTACTGGTTCTGCCACAGAAGCCACGTGCCGTGGCCAGGAGCATCTGTTTCCTCATCTATAGAATGGATGTCCCTAACTTCCCTATCACGGGCTGTTGAAAGGGTCTGATAGGACAACGGTATATACAGATGGACTTTGTAAACCAGAAATTGGTTTTCCGTGGAAGATACTGAGCATGCTCAGTAAGTAATAATAGCTACTTGCGAAGTTCTGTGACGATCAGCTTTTTGTTTGTTTCTTTGTTTAGATTTGTTCCTTATATTGGGATTGTGACGATCCTCATGAATGACTATCCTAAATTTAAGGTAAGATCCTGTACTTTATGTTTCATTAAAAACGTGATCTTTGGCTAAGTTTGGGGAACTATTAAATGGGTTGCACTTAAATATAGAAGGTTAATTGGATAGTCGGACGATATGGTCTGGTTACAAAGGCCGGTTTATTTGTTGAGTCAGGGCGCGTGCACGTGTGAGGCCTCTGACTGGCTCTGTTTCTCTTCCAGTATGCAGTGCTCTTCCTGCTGGGTTTATTTGTGCTGGTCCATCGTGAGTAAGAAGCTGCCTTGCTGGTCCTGGGAGGTGCCCATACTCTGTGTTACTGATGTTTGTGGTAGATGTTGGTCTGTGATTGGTGGAGTGGAGCGCACACGCCGGCCCTTCTTGGTAGCACTGGTTTGCATTAGTTTATGTTTCCACCCAGAGTCTGTGTGGGCGGGTGTGCGCGCACCACTGCGCGCTCCTCGGGGACTCAGTCACAGGATTTCATATGTTGTCGTCACACTTTCGCATTTTTGTACATCAGTGAATTTTTTATATTAAAAGGTTGAGCCAAAGCCCCCAGTGTTTGTATTTTGAAGCCAAGCTTCACTTCTAAAGTGCCTGCAGAGTCTGTCAGGAGCACGCAGCTCTGCCCGAGTCTGAAGCCGCCTGTTCCTCCCTGTGATGGGAATGGCGTATGCTGAGGTGGTTGGAAGTTTTAACGTTTCAAAATGTTAAATAAAAGACTTTGCATATTGAACCCTTTATCCCTGACTTGTGTTTGTCGGGAAAACTTTCTGCAGTTTGCCTTTTAGTGCTGGTGCCCAGCGCCCCCTGGGGAGATGTGAACAGTCCTCCAGCTAAGAAGGTTGTCCTCAAACTGCCAGCTGTTTCTTTGTTTGCTTATTTGTTGTGTTTTTTGTTTTTGTGAAGTCAAAGTAGCCATTGACGTTCATAGAGCATCTCTTAGTCACAAAATTCATTCTTCACCAGGGTGTGACGCAGATGTATGTAAACCCAGCCGGCGCTGCTGAGAGGTCCAGAAAATCTCACTTTGCTGTAGACCCAACCTTTTGTACACTGGCAGCCCTGTCTGCCTGAGGCAGTGGGTTTCCCCCTCTGGAGGAGGCAAGCAGGCCACTGTTTCCTTTAGACTCCGATCTGCCTGGATCTGTCCCCGTAAGTTCTGCAGACCTCAGGAGGCAAGGTTTCCAGTAGCAATACCAAGGCTCAGGTGTTTTCCTCATTTACTCTGGAGGCAGGGAGGGAGTCAGGGAAGTAGGGAACGTAGCCCATGTCTTTGAAGCACAAAATACTTTTTTTTTTAAACATGTCTTTATTGATTTCAGAGAGCGGAATGGGGAGAGAGAGAGAAACATCAATGATGAGAGTCATTGATCGGCTGCCTCCTGCACGCCCCCTACTGGGGATCAAGCCCGCAACCCAGGCATGTGCCCTGACCAGGAATCAAACCGAGACATCCTGGTTCATAGGTCCATGCTCAACTGCTGAGCCATGCGGGCCGGGCGCGCAAAATACTCTTAATTCTGTTTTCTCCTTATAGTTATGTGAAATCTCAGAGTAAGCAGGTTTTCAGTGTTGGGCTAAGTGCACAGTTTCTATTCTTCATTCCCACTGAAGTGGGAATTGGTTCACACTAACGCTAATGGAACAAGAAGAGGGACAGTTGGCCTTCTGAGGCCTCCCCTGTGGAAAGAATTGTCCTGGATCCATTAAGGAGGCTTCAGCCTGCAGGCCCTGGTTATGGCTGTTAATGATCCCAGTGAGGGTGAAACTTGGCAAACCACAGCTGACAAGTGCTCCTCGAACCCGTGGGGATAGTCACCCTTCCTCTTTAGAGGGAGGTGTTGTGAATATGGCCTTTAAAAAATTTTATTTTGACAGTTTCAGTTTCTGACTCTGGGAAATTGTGCAGAATATCCCTGATTCTCCCTTTCACACCTCAAAAGATTCTGCTGTTTTCCTGATTCTGCAGCCCCTTCCTTAATCTGAGACTAAGGAAGGGACCTGAGCCCTGGCTGGGGTGGCTCAGCTGGTGGGGCATCATCGCGCACGGCAGCCTGGGCGTGGTTCGGGAAAGCAGCATCTGCCCTGAGTGGTCAGAACGGACCGAAGTCTGATTCCAGTGTGACATCTGGGCTGTTCCCAGCTGGAGAGAGAGGTGAACCTGCCAAATAAGGTTCCTTGAAGCGGTTAAGCGGGGCAGCACTCGGTGCCAGCGCCTGTGTTCCCACCAGTTGCTGCATCGAGGGCCAGAGGCGACAGGGTGGATGCGGGGCTGTTAGGGAGGCGATGAGAGCTGTATCTGCACCATGCTGAGCAGTGAGGACGGAGAGGTGTAAGTGCCAGGTGGGGTGAGAGGCAAGGAGATGGAGGAAGAGCCAGCGCCCAGCGCAGTGCCCCTCGCCTGTCCTCTGTGTCGTGCTCACGGGAGCTCAGCATGGTGAGCCGCCTCTCGTGCCCGCTTCCCCTGCGGGGAGGGGTCCCGTGGAGCTGGCAAGCCTAGTAGCAGAGCCGTTATCCCGCAGGTTCTGTGGCAGCCGCCTTGTGTGGAGTTTCAGGGAAGGGTCCGGGGCCCAGGGGTCGTCCTTTGTCATCACTCCGTGTACTCCCCTCCCCCGGGACATGGTGACCTCCCTCGGGCAGGGACCTCTCTTTTGTCTGCCTCCTGCGGTGCCTAGCACAGTGCTCTGCACTCTTAAGCCAAGGGGGGCTTACTCGGAGCAGCGTCGCCCACTCATGAGGCGGCGCCCCGGCCAGGCGGCCCTGGGGCCCACGCACACATCTGTAGGAAATGCGGTGTTAGGAGCGGCAGGGCGGCGGCTGCGGCCACGCGCACATCTGTAGGAAATGCAGTTAGGAGCGGCAGGGCGGGAGGATGTCGCACCTGCCGCCTGCGGGGGCTCCCGGCCCAGTGCTCGCTCCGACCCACCCGGAGCCCGGCTCCAGCAGGCGGCGCCCAGGCCGCGTCC